GGGGCCTGGCGGAGCCGGCAGCCAGCCCAGGGGGAAGCAGGCGGCGTTAATCCGCCCGGGCAGCCGACATGCAGGTGAGAGGCAGAACCTGGCACGCGGGGCTTAAGGAGCGGATTAAAACCCACCAAAGTCCCTTAAATCGGATAAACCCAACGGGCCCACATTCCTGCCCTCTCAGCCGGTTGGCTGTCCCGGCACAGACACCGCCCCGGCGCCCTTTGTTTTCAGGAGGCAAATGTGATCCAGGGCCTGGGATACAGTCCCAGCTCTGAAGGGCCGATTCCCAGCCCCTCGCTGATCTAACCGCTAGACCCCGCTCCCATCCCAAAGCTGGGAACACAAACCAAGGCCAGGCGGCCCGGCTCCTCCGGGCTCCAACCACTAGACTCCGCTCCCCTCTGGGAAGGTGATAGAAAACCCAAGTGTCCTGAGCAAGGGAAGGGAATGAATGTGGCAACTTCGGGGATGAGGGGGTTGAGCCTTTCTCCGGGAGGGGGGAGAGCAGAAAGACCCCAGGAATCCTGGATACCAGCCCCTTCTTCCCTCTCGTCCCTTGAGACTGCAAGGGGACTCCCCGCGGCTCTCTGCCCCTTCGACCTTCGGGACCCTGGTTTTGTTCTCTCGGCACTAGCCCCTTCCGAGGTGAGGAGTCGCTTTGCTCGACTCCCAGCAGCACGGAGGGAAGCTTGCGAGCCTCGCTCGACACCCCAGACGGATGCACAAGCCACATGTAGACACGGAAGCCAGAGATGGGCCCAGCGCGGGCCGAATCCATCAGTCCTCCCGGGGCTCTGCAACCCAAACCGAATCCCGCCCGGGGCGGTTAGCACAGCCCGCCGCGAGGAAAGGACAAACAAGCCACATGTAGACACGGAAGCCAGAGATGGGCCCAGCGCGGGCCGAATCCATCAGTCCTCCCGGGGCTCTGCAACCCAAACCGAATCCCGCCCGGGGCGGTTAGCACAGCCCGCCGCGAGGAAGGAGGGGGAGGCCCTGGGAATACGTCTGGTGGCCGGTAGCAAGGTTTGCATGCCAGGCTCAAAGGCAGAGCCATGGTGGACACAAATCAGTC